TTTCCAAATAGGTGGAAGTAGGTGCGTTTGTTCAAATACACGAACAAGAAGTCATCGTGTTCATATGGAAAAACATCATATGTCGCTTCGGCATCCCCAAAGAAATCAGTTGTGACAATGGACCCCAGTTCATCGGGAAAAAGATGATTGAGTTCTTCAAAAAAATGGCACATCAAGCGGATACTCTACACGCCATATCACCCTGCCAGCAACGGTCAAGCGGAATCATCCAATAAAATAATATTGAAACATATTAAAGAAAAAGCTCGAGGACGGCAAAGGGTTATGGCCAGAACTGCTACCAGAGGTGTTATGGGCCTACCGCACAATGCTGAAAACCAGCACGGTCGAGACGTCGTATTCACTGGTCTACAGCACTGATGCAGTTATTCCCGTTGAAGTTGGGGAACCTAGCCTGAGATACTCCAATGAGAGTGGACCAAGAAACGACGAAAGCAGATTACAAGACCTGGATGAGGTAGAAGAACGGAGGGATATGGCACACATAAGGATGATAGCCCAAAAAAAACAAGCAGAAAGGTACTATAATAAGAAGGCCAAAGTACGACCACTCAGAGTCAGGGACTACGTTCTAAAAACCAAAACACAAGCAGCGGAAAACCCGAATGAAGGAAAATTGGGAACAAACTGGGACGGACCATATAAAATCACAGCAGCAGCAAGCAAAGGAGCGTTCCAATTAGAAACAATGGAAGGAAAACTACTACAAAATAACTGGAATGTCGCCCACCTCAAGTACTTCCACTTCTGAAAAGAGACGCCACCCAAGTCGTACTCTTTTCCCTCACCCGGGTTTTGTCTCAATCGGGTTTTCTTGGGGAGGTTTTCAATGAGGAGATAAGGGGGATGTCTTGAGGTTCGAAGTATTGTTCATTGCCCCACCTACTGATAACATATCCAGGCCGAGCAATGAAGGGATTAGATATAAAGAATCTTCATTATATGTACGAAATCGATATGTACCGCCATTGTACGAACGAAGTCGACATGTATCTCCGACATATGAATAAAATCACTCTATGTACACGAAATCAACATGCGTTTCCAATGTATGAATAAAACCGGCATATACGACACTCTAGCGAATAAAATAGAATGACACCCTCACGACGAGATACTACTTCGGCACCAGCTCGAAAGTAACATCCCAATGACTAAGGCCATCGTCAAAGAAAAGAGTTTGACTTCACTCGAACCACGACGGGATACTACTTCGGCACCAGCTTGAAAGTAACATCCCAATGGCTAAGGCCATCGTCAAAGAAAAGAGTTCAACTTCACTCGAACCACGACGGGATACTACTTCGGCACCAGCTTGAAAGTAACATCCCAATGGCTAAGGCCATCGTCAAAGAAAAGAGTTCAACTTCACTCGAACCACGACGGGATACTACTTAGGCACCAGCTCAAAAGTAACATCCCAATGGCTAAGGCCATCGTCAAAGCAAAGAGTTCAACTTCACTCGAACCACAACAGGATACTACTTCAGCACTAGCTCGAAAGTAACATCTCAATGGCTAAGGTTATCATCAAAGCAAAGAGTTCGACTTCACTCGAACCACGACGAGATACTACTTCGGCACCAGCTCGAAAGTAATATCCCAATGGCTAAGGCCATCATCAAAGGAAAGAGTTCGACATTGGTAAACTACAACGGGATACTACTTCGGCACCAGCTTAAAAGTAATACTCCTACGACCAAGGTCGTTGCTAATGAAAAGATTCCAATTAAACTCAACACAACGGGTTTAACATTTCAACAAAGATTCGGAATAGCATGACTGCGGCAAAAGTCATCATCGAACAAATCGGAAAAAGGAAACAACAACTCAGAGGTACACGACCAAAACAATTTTCATTACAACAAATATATTACAAGTATTTGTTTTTACAAAGGGCTCAAAGATGCCCTCAAAAAATGGCGAAGCAAAAGCAAATACAACCGAATATTATGCCACATCACTCCTTGTGGCATACACCTCCTCGTACCAAGAATCGGAGGCAAGTTTGTCCGCATCGCCAGAATTAATATCATCCCCGCCATGCGTGATGGGGTCATACCCGTATGCTTTACGAGCTGCACGGGCCTTGGCACGCACATCCCAAAGCTCCATCTCAAACGCTCTCCCGTCAGCATAAAGAGCCTTATACACATCAAGTCGGGCTTCAGCATGAACCCACAACTCATACAAATGGCGAGGCATGACATGATCAGCCGAAGTATGGGATGTATAGGGTTGCGACTGACGTCGCACGTCCTCCCTTTTCAAAGAAGCTACCTACTCATTTAATACGAACAATTCCACTCCAAACCTTGAATACGCCCCTCAAGTCCCGCTACCTTATGCGCAGACACCTCTAAATCCTTGTCACAAAGCGAAATAATAACTCGTACTTACAAGCTCTAGCAAAGCATAAAGGTTGGCACAATATGAACGATTCTTTGGCTACGACGTGACTCTTTTACTACGACTTGAATTCTTATTTGGTATGCTATTATGTTTAAAAAAATATTTCTATTTTGAAATTTCAGTTTCTACAACATTATATATATTTCAATAATGATTATTTTTATAATTATGCAAGTGAAGATATTATCCTTAATTTAAAATTCACTTTAATTGGCTATCTAAAAATTTAAATGATTCTTTGACCGGTGAAATTTTATTTCAGTATGACTCTATTTTGAGTTTATCGATATCTCTATCCACAGATTTTAAATTTTGAATACCCTATACATATACAAATTTTTGTTCTTTGAATCATTAAATGTTAGATTAATTGATTGTTATTATATAACATTGCATATTGTCTTAAAATTGCCAAGCAGTTTTTTCTCAACACCATACTTGGCTTACTCAATGCAAACTACTTAAATTACAATTAAATTCAAATTCAAATATCATATCAGTTTGTTAGTAATAGTGATTTTTTTTAAAATGACACATAATGTAAATAAAAAAAATATTCTGAGATATCTTTATCTTATAATCTATGTATTTGAGTTGAAAAAAATATTTGAAATCGATGAGATCGGCTTCCAATTTTTTTACGCTCAACAAAGATGAAACAGAAGAAGAAATTCGTTGTCGTCTCTTATTTCTGGTTTTTAGATTTTTGATACATTTTTTCTATATTTATTTTCTTTTATATTATTTTTTATGTTTTTCTTTCTTTTGTTACGCAAAATTAATTTATTTCGTAGTAAAAGGATGAGTTTTTAATAGAAATTGTCTACATAAGAACTTTATTTATATTTTTAGTCTTTGGTTGAAATTCTGTCATATTTTTCTTTTGGCTTTATCTTATCAACCTAAACATGTGCTCACCCAACCACTTAAATTAAAAATTTGAGGATGTGTAATTTATATATAATTCATATATAATAGGTGTATAATTGTGTATAATCGGTATATCATCTATGTATATTAGCTATAAAAAATAAACAATAAATCTGGTCGGATATTTATGTAATAATCCATAAGATTTCGGTTTCTTGATTTTATCCATGATTTGACTTCTATTATAATTATTTTAAAAACTCTCTACTAAAATTTAAAAATATCTTATCTTTTATTTTAAAAATGACATTATAATTTAAAAAATAATCTCATTTCGAAATAATTTGTTTACATTTTAAAAATAACTATTTCACGTCATACCAATTTTTTTAAATATACTTTTTGTTACACTTGAAAATCGCTATAGAAACTATCAATTAGAAACCAATATCCCTCTTTTTGAATTCGAGAAAAAAAAATCTTTCACATAATCTAATGATTCAAAACTAATATTCTTTAATGAAAAAAATACTATACTCTTGCAATGTTGGTTTGACTGCCGCTAAATGAAGAGGTTTCCAAGCTTATACCCTTCAATTCCTAGAAGGTGTTAAATAGAAATTAATGATAACAATTATATAGCGAAAGTTTTGTTATTTGTTTTACGTCCACTTATATAAATTGACTCTTCAAACAAACATTTTTCAAAAAGAAAAAAAACAACTTGTGTTGAATATTGACTGATTTTTGTAATGTTTCTTTCTCCAGCATGTGGGTTTACTTCATTGTATATGTAAGTAAATTTTTATCAACTTTTAAACTCTTTTTTGCTATCTGGATAAACATAGACGTGTACCCTATATATTACATTTATTTTTTAAAAAAATTGCTTTATTCAAATCTAGCTATAGTATTTTAAAGAACTATAATTATAGGATTTTAAATGTGAAAGAGTTTATATTTATATGGAGTTTTTTATTTTTTGCCAGAGGTGAAGTAGTATTTACATAATTTGAGTTAAGATAACAAAAGTTCCTAATATACTTCCATATGATCATTAATCGAATTAAGTATGATAACATGGTAACACAAAAGATAATTTTTTTTATATTTAATTCAAATTTAAAAACTTTATATATAAATTCATATTATCCTTTAATATANGGAATCCAAAAAGAAAGAAGAAGTTGGTGAGAGTTTAATAAAGATCTTTTAGAAAATCAGGAAATCCTAAAAAAATTGAATAATAATCCTAGAAAGTAGAAATATATATAATCCTAGTTAAGAAATCAATTATAAATAAATTATTAAAAAATTTACATCTCAAAAATCTAGAAAAATAAACTTTAAAATAAAATTTTATTAAATGAGTTTTTAAATATGAAAAAATTTAGGGCTCCTCGTTGAAGTTTGGCTTTAGGCCCCGTTGAACCGCCCCTGCTTTTAGTAACCGATAGTAGAGAAATTCTTAACAGTCAATCAGTCATTTAAAGTGTAATCTGACACAGATCAATAATATTTCGCCAAAAATATTTAAAAAGAAAAATTAAGTTCTTGCTCAATTCATTGTTATTTTATATTTTTCTGAAGGGTCTCGACTATGCGCTTTACACGTACTAGTGCTATTTATTCTTAAATTCTTGTGCAAACATGACTGTCTGTTTGCGTTTTTGTTTTAGAAACAATAGACAAAATTGTCAAGATACGAAACTAACTCTTACAACAATTCCATATACAATCCTTCCAACATGATACCTATCAGTTAAAAGGAAAAAAGACAAAACATCATCGTATACAAGATATACTCTTAACAACAAGAGATATATAGATGATGCAGTTCTACGTGTACTATTCACGCTACTAATTAATTAGAGAGGTGAAAAGAAACAGACTTTAATATCCAGGGAAGATAGGCGGAGGTGGTGATGCATAAATTGAACCAATGTTTGGTGAAAGGACAACATTTTCAAAAGGTGGAGGCGGAGACAACCTTGGAGGAGGTGGTTGAGAGTGGACGGGTGGTGGAGAGTGGACGGGTGGTGGAGAGTGGACGGGTGGTGGTGGAGAGGAAACATGAGGAGGAGGAGGAACAGGTGGCGGTGGAGTCGATTTCAAACGTGGAGGAGGAGAAGCCTTCTTTTGGGTTGGTGGTGGAGTGTAAACTTGAGGCTTTGGAGATGGTTTAGGGGTAGGATGATTAGGCTTTGGTTTTGGTGGCAATGGCTTCTTTTCCTTTTCCTTCTCCTTATGAGGAGGAGATTTTGATGATGATGCTCCACATTTAGCCTTTCTACAATCAATTGGCTTGTTCACAGTAGGTTGACACTGTTTTTGAGACTTTTGTTTTGGTCTATCAGGCAAACAATTATTAGTATCATCAAAAATCACATCTTTCCTCATATGTGGTTCACAACCTTTAGCCTCGCCATTGAAGTAATTGAATGAAAACGTGAAATTCTTCAAATTTGGAAGACGACATAGATTCTCCTGCACGAATCCAGTTAAGGTATTGTGTGAAAGATCCAATTGTTCAACATGTGAAAGATCATTAAGAGTCTTTGGCAAAATCCCAGAAAATGAATTCCCAGCAACATCAAACACTGTTACATTCTTTAACAACCCGACTTCAACAGGCAAACATCCACCTAAATCATTGTTCATGAATACAATCTCGTCCAACTTTGACATCTTTCCGATGCTGTTTGGAATACAACCATGGAATTTGTTATTAGCAAACACAATAACAGAAGCTGATGAATTTCCAATAGTCTCAGGTGTGGTGGAGACGAATCGATTGTCATTCAAGAATAAAGCATCAAGATCTTTGTCAAACAATTGTGGTGGCAACTCTCCCTCAAAGTTGTTAAACCTTAAATCCAAGTATTTAAGGTTAGGCAAGTTTAGAACAACCTTAGGAAAAGGGCCAACAAGACGATTATTACTAAGATCTAACTCATGCATCAATCTAAGCCTAGAGAAACTCTCTGGAATAATTCCACAAAATCTATTGGAATTGAGATGGAACAAAGCTGCATCTGTCAATAATCCTAATTCTACAGGTAGATAGCCTGCTATATCTGCATGATTTAGATCAATGCCAGCAACAACAGTGACATTAGGGTCATCTAAAGCTGGCGAACAGAACACGCCCTTGTACTTACAAACATCTGGACCTTTCCAATTGTTGGTGAATTTATAAGGGTCAGAATATACAGCTTCTTTCCATGCCTTTAATGCAATGTAGGCACGTCTAAGCCTGGAATTCGGAAATGTGTAATTTACATGGACCTCAAATTCATAGTTATCGGGTAATTTACCATTTTCAGGAAGTGTTGAGAGTTGTCGTCGTGCAAGAAGTGATGCTTCATGGTCAGAGAGTGCAACAGAGAATGAAAACAGAATAGAAGAGAACAACAAAATGAAAAAACGTCGATAGACCTGCATTTTTGGAGGAGAATTTTAGAGTAACAAGCTGCCTCGGATGAACCCCAAGGCTGCCCTATGGAAGATGGTTTGGAAAAAGGACAGCTTCTAAAACAAGAAGAAAATTATGAAAGATAAAAAATCTTCATCATACGAGAAATGACGATTGATTGTTTTTTTTTTTTTTTGGTGGGG